TCTTTCTTTGGAGGTGGAAGATGTGTATTTGGACCCAAGTTTCCCACATCCTTAGATGCATGCTTGGGTATAGTTAAAAACAACCTACAGAAGAAATATTGTTCTAAGTTGATAAATCACAATTTAACGTGAACTAGGATAAAATGTAAGACTTGCTGATGAAATCGCTGAAGACTTCTATTAACTTTGCAGACTTTATTTCAGGCCCTAATGGTATTGACTTGAGCTATGCATAGGTTAGATGGGTTCTGTTTGAACTTTCACTTCACAGACATGTTAATGTGTCTAGGAATACCCCTGCTATATCATATTCCTTTGTCTCTTGTGTGTAGTTTTCTCAAGTTATTATAGATCTTAAAACAGAATATTTCCCTGTAAGAACAGCATGCAGCTTTTGTACTTTCACACAACAATAACCCAGTACCATTCTTTAAAGTTCGCTTCCTGCAGTACCATTTATATTGATTCTGATGCTCAGCATTTGTTCTTCAGGCATTTCATGGGGTATTTTTTAAATTCCCTTGGGTATAATAGTTTTTTGATTTTCATTCAACAGTCATTTTCTCTGCCTTTTTATCATTGTTCTTGCTTGTAACTTTCCTTTGCTTCATTTCATTAGGGCACAGAAGAATGTAGTTAACTGCTGCAATACTTAGTATTCCAGCACAGTTTTGCACATTCTTATATGCTCAGCAGCAGCTGCAGGCTACTATCTTGAGTAAATAATGTGAGTTTTAAAACATTTTGGATGCATTCTCAAAACAATTGGGCTGTATGAAAACATGAACTATACAGAGGGGCAAACTAAATTTAAATCAGAAGGCTGGGATGCAAACACACCAAACCCCTAAAAAACAACAACGTTGGGAGGAACATCATTTACACACACACACACACACACACACACACACACAGCCTTTTTTTTTAAAGTAGCTTGAGTTGAAGGCAGAGCTGCAGGTTTAACTTGGATTTCCTATCCTATAGAAGCTTCTGTCTCTTCTGTATAGATCCACAGATGCTGTTCCAGATGCTTGGTGCTGTTTCAAGATTGCAGAACAGACAAATATATCATTAATGGGAACCAGCCATTCTATTGGCATACGAGCCTCTTCAGGTACTGTGAAGCCAACATAGCTGGCTCTACACCATTTGCCCCCAGTCTCCATGTGTGCTGGAAGAGAGAACCAAGTGCTCCAGTCAATCCTTAGAGTGATCCCCATGAGACTACTTTAACTGGCATAGACCAATTAGTGCTACTCTCCAAGATGTTGGGAGCCGCTTCAGAATCTTTTGCTTTGAGACTGGGGAAACAGAAGGCACTTTACAGTTACTTTTCCTCCCATCTACAGCCACAGCAAACATAAATCCATAACTTTTCAATCCAACTGTTAGGGTTTTTTTACTAATAACATTTATTACTCACTTTCTGGTGGATATGCCTTGTCAGAAACTCCTTACTCAGCCTAAGGTCCAAGTGGAAGCTGATGAATATTACACAATGTTTAATACCCAAGTATTCCTTTGAATTTTAAATGGTTTTTGCTTTCACAGTATTTGCACATCCTTTGTAAATACCTCAAAGTGAATTTTCTGGCAAGAAAGATTGCTAAAACAGCTATTTAAGCAGTAACTGAAGAATATTTGGAAAGCAAATTTATGTTTGTTACTGGAGAGTTTCACACCAGAAACCTAATTTAAAAATAGTGTTATAATCAGATTAAAATGAAAATTTACTGTGCCCAAGCAGAGAAATCAAATGGTCACATGTTTACCTTTTTGAGGAACAAGCAACAGAACAAACAGTATTTGAAAAAAATATTTGTAAAATATTTTTTGAAAAGAAAATGAGGAAGAATCAAGAGAATTCATGAACAGAAAGATAAAATTCATTTAACACATAATTAAACACATGAATTATTCTCTCAGCTCTTTTCAAAGTAAAACTGACCAATATTTTAGGAACACAGATATTTCTGGTTAAGTTTGCAGAGGATAAAACTGGAAGGGCTTGCAAACACTTTGGAAGGTAGCATTAGAATTCAAAAGGGTTTGGTAAATACTGTAACTGGACTATAGAGGATAAAATTAAATTCAACAAATGCAAATGTACAATGCTATACTTAAGGAAGAAAAACATGCAAACTTGATTCTGGGAGATAGCTGGGTTGACAGTTGAACTTCTGCAAAAGATCTGGGAGTTGTAGTGGCTCACATACTCAGTATAAGCCAACAGCCTGATACAGTCACAAAAAAGCAAATGCAGTTTTAGAAGTGGTGCAGGCAAGATGTGGGATGTGTTAGTACCACTCTATTTAGCACAGGTAAGACCTCAGCTGAAGTACTTATGCAAGTCTGAATTCTGCATTTTAAGAAGAATGTCGAGAAATTTAAGAAGATCCAAAGGTGAGTAACCAAGATGGTAAAAGGGTTGGAATACAAGCACGTCCTGCATTTGTGCAGCAGGTTGAACTAGATGATCACTGAGATTCTCTCCAACCCTACGCATCTCTATCATACACATTTTCCTTGAACAATGCTCACCTTAAGCTGGTCTTTACAATACTTTTCATTTCCCTTTTTGCTCACCAGTCTTTTCAGCATTTGTTTTGAGTTTTTGACACTCTAATCACATTCATAGCCTGTATTTTCTGTGACAATTTGGACATCCAGTTTCTTTTTTCACATCATTTGGGTGTGTAGGTGCAAACAAGTGTACTGTACATAAACAAGTGAACTGACACTGGAAATTCTTACCTCACTACTGTCTGCATGTGTTGAGAATGTGAACATTAGATTAGATGGAGAGAAAAGAAGAGTGAGTTCTATGTTGTGAATCTAGCAAGATAAAATTGAATGTAAAGACTGATGTATAGCCAGTAAATCTCACTAAATAGCTTTCTCTTCACCACAGTCTGGAATGAAAAGACTGATTTTAAAATCTTGAGTCCATCAACCTAGCCAACTACAATAATCACTCCTGGGCAAGAAACAGCAGGGAAATATATCAAATATTCTAAAATTTACCTTTTTCCTTGAAATTTATCCCAATCCAAAGCCCACTGGAGTCAATGAAAAGTCTCAAGTTGACTTGAATAGGTTTGGGATCTGGCCCATTGTTCTTTATGAAATCCAGTGTGGCCAAGTGAAGAATGGGTTCTGAAGGAGAAACTCATTGAATTATTAAGCATGTATCACACCCTGGCCTCACCCCTCGGAGCACCAAATAAGAAAGCCTAATAGGAAGTGTACTATCTTTTTTTGCTGCATTGCCAATGCTATGTTTACCTGTTTAGTGAAAATATCCATGATGCAGATAAATTTGTGGTTTGTAACCTGTATTAATATGAAGCTGAAACTTCAGAACAGCTGGAGACAAAGGCTTTCTCAGGACAGAAGAGCCTGGAAGGCACACTGCACTTCTGATAGTGAAAACCAGCATGGAAGTGTTCTTCCTAAGGTCAGTGAACACTTACATCTTTTCATCAACCGTAATTTTTTCAAGTACTATTGAGCTGTTCTTCCTATTCTTGAAATGTGATAGAAAAAGTCTTACTTTGATTTGCAATGAAACCATCAGTACTGAAGCTTAGAAAAATCAGTTGCAAAAATTACTTAAAGACAGATTTTACAAATATGGAAGGTTTAATTTTCTTAAATATACTAAACATAATTTTAGAAGATAGCATTAAAAGCAAACACCAAATCAGTATTTGTATGGTCACACAGCAGTTATTCATTTTTCCCCGTAGAGGTATGTTCAAAAGCACAGTGAAATCCATGAAAAATCTTTCCAGTTTAGTTCAGAGTGCTTTGGATGAATATGTTAAACAGAAATGGACCAGATCAATCCCTTTAGCATTTGGGAAGTACAGTCTCAATCCTTTTGAACTGTAGCAGTTTCTATGGCATGGAAAAACCCCTACATCTTGCCCTTTTTATGTAGTATAGCTACCGACCCAAACAAAGCATTTTAATATTGCTTCAGAGACTGACCAGAGATCCTGCTGCAATCAGCAACCCAGCCAATCTGGTCCTGCTTGTCTCATGGTTTATGTTGACTGAGTTGAATCCCCAGACAAAAGGTGGCTTAAAGAACTGCACTTCTGCTTATAAGTGGGTTAGCTGCTGTCAGGGGTCTCAGATCTGGGGTCCAGTAATTTCTAACAGTAGAATCTCCATGAGATTCTTTTCGGGTGTAGACGCATGCACATTTGGAGACATTTTAAAAGAGGAACATTTCAAACACTTTTGAGTGTTATGTGTGGACATAATACAATACAATACAATACAAGGTAGAAAAAATGCTCCAAATCAATACTGCTTCATCCTCTGTTGGAGGTCCTTGAGGGCAAGAATTTATGATCTAAAAAGATATTTAGAGGAATATTAAAAATCCCCTGAGTTATCATACCTAATGATGACAAACATTTTGAAAGAATAATGAAACTTGTGCTTTAATCTCCAGCTAGTCTCTAATAAATGGAGATCAGGTTGAGACACAGGCTAAGTACAGACAGTCAAAAAGCTTGAGGCTGAATCAATTCAATCTTTGCAGGTTAGTTTAAGGTACATAAATTGAACTGATAAGCAAGTGAACAGACATTTACTTTTGATTTCACAAATGCAGCCACAGGACTGCAGTGACCCAAGCCAGAAGCTGGGGGCGGGGGGGTGCTAGAGCATCCCTACCTGCTCAGCTGGAGCAGACAGCTTGGGCCAAGGCTAGCCCACACCCCCTGCAAGGGGGAGGCTGTGGGGGAGGTGCAAAGCATCCTGGGATGCCAGGGGACTGTGAGTTAACTTAAATCTAGAGGGGATCTGGGACAGAAGTTCAATAAACTGGTTTAATCTAAAATCAGGGGCTGCTTGTACATGCCACAGGGGTTTAATTTGGTTTAGTTCTCCCTAAATTGAAATGGTGGGTTTTTAAAAGCACCACTTCAAATTAGGGAAAATTAAACTGAATGAAACCCCCATGGCATGTACACAAGGGTGGGGGCCCAATCCTTACCCGCCTCTTCGGTGGAGGGGGGAGACGGCAAGCTGCCAGTAGGCTGAGTGGTCCCTAAGCTACGTGGGGGCAGGCAGCACTCACTTGCTGGCACACGTCCCAGGGGGTGCTGCAGCTGCGGAGGGAGGCACTGCCCCCCTTCCCTCCCCCCGCAGCTGTGGAAGGAACACAGCTCAGGCAGGGTCCAGGGAGGAAAAAAAAAAGATCAGGTTTGCTGCTTTTTTTTTTACTTCAGGAGAGCCTGCCTGCTGCCGGGTCCCACAGCCCCGAGTACACCAAGCCCCGAGCATGTTGGCTTCCAGTGTTCCATGCACTGTTGTACTTTGTTAGGTATCAAACTAAAACACCTCAGAGATGTTTTATCTTGCTACGTACCAAAGTCATTTAAAGTGGAATACGCTGTCGTATGTGCAAACAGCAACGCCACAAAAGTTGTGCAAAAGGGCATTTAAGCCACTTTAAAGACCACTTTTGTGGTGTGTACAAAGGCCCAGGAAGTCTGATACTACATCAGGGGCAGACAATTATTTTGGGTGGATGGCCGCTTACTAAGTTTTGGCAAGGTGTTGAGGGCCACATGGGTAGCCCTGCCCCTTGACAGGTGCCTCGCCCCTGGTTGCCAACTTGGGACCAGAAGTCCTGGCACTATCCTCTGACCCCTGCCACCGGAAGTCCCCCCCAACCCATTGCCCCTGGAAGTACTCCTTTAGGGAAGAGAGTTTGCTATCTTAGAACCAGAAAAAAAACCAAATTATGTACTAAAAATCAAATACCCATAATAATATATTTTAATTCAATTTTAAAAAAAGTATTTTTGTCCTGATATTTGTGTGTTTCTGCTTTATATATAGAAGTGATTGCATAATAGTTCAAAATGCAGTCTTATTCTTGTATAGTGTATTGGGTGTTGTGGGGTATGGCTGGGTGGGTGTGGGGTTTGTGGGGAGCTGTGGATATATGTGTGTGGTATTTGTGGGGGGAAAGCCCGGCCCCCCCCATTCCACAGGAGTCCAGTAGCAGCTCACCCCCTAGCCCCAGGACCAGCAGGGAGGCTGGGCCAGGAGCCAGAATGGGGCCACGGCCACTTTTCTGCTCCAGAAGTATCTGCGGCTTCCCTGGCCTTCCCATGCCCCACGCTGGGTCCCTGCTGGGTTGTGCTGACCCCAGTGGCCTCAGGTAGCCCTCTGCACTGTCCCCTGTACCAGCCAGGAACTTTCCTAGGGCCCCCAGGCTCCTCGCAGCAGCAGGATCTTCCGGAGCAGAAAAGCGGCCACACTCCCGCTCCAGCTCCTGGTGCAGCCTCCCTGGGGCCGAGGGGTGAGCTGCTGCCGGGACGCTGAGCCCCTGTGGGGTGGGGCAGGCAGGCCTTCATCCCACAGTGGTGGTACCTGCTAGGGCTGCCCATGGGGATGGGGAGGGGGACAGCCAGGCCATTGCCACCCCAAGCCTCAGGCATGCGATGTAAGTTCCGCACCAACTCCCTATGCTTCCCACATCCAAGGCCACATCCCTGCCAGCTTGTGTTTCCCTGGGTGCCCCCTGTGCTGCTCCCAAGGCCGGACAAGCCCTTTCCCAGTGGCCCCTAGCCTCTTGGCAGCGGCAGGGGCCCCTGGAGGGGCCTCTGGGCGGCGGCGGGAGCCACTGGAGTGCAAATGTGGCTGTAGGCCCAATGCAAGTCTCTGCGACTGTCTGGCCCCAGGCCAGGCTGCCAGGGTGGCAGGCACCCACCCAGGTGCTTTTTTTTAAAGCAGACTGTGTAGCATAATTTAATGTAGGAAAAATGTAGACATAGAGGTGCTAACCCTACTCATTGTTTCCAAATCAGCAACTAACCCAATCCTACCCCCTCTGAGGGATGATAATTAGGGACCTATTTAATTCATGATTTCATGGAAACCAAAATCCACAATTGTCCATGAAATCAACCTTAAAAAAAACCAAAACTTAATAAAAATAAAATGCTGATTCCCCAATGGGAGTCAGTGGTCCTTGCTGCTTCGCAGCCCACCCGGGAGAAGAACGAGCCAGTAGGTGGGGTGGTGCAAAGGGCAGCCAATAGCCAAGATGGTGGCTGCCCTCTCGTCTCTCCTTGCCACCCCAGAGTCTCTCCACCAATCAGTGGCAGGGGTGGAGCCACCAGCAAATGCCCATGAAATTGACTTGTTCTTGCCAGAACCAAACCACAAAAATTCCTTTGTCTGGGTCTGGCTGTTAATTAAGTAGGTTGCTAATGATAATAGAAAAATAAAGAAAGAGTTTTCTTTATTCAAAACAAAAATCTCAGGAGCCTCTCTTACAATAACTGGACTGGAGGTGATATGAAACTCTTCTGTAACATACCATAACATAACAATCACCCTATTTCTTCAAAGGAGGCTTCTGTTTGATATCATCAACAAGTCCCCAAAGTTTCTTTTTGGTTACAATTTTAATATTTTCATCTGGTGAAACAGAATCATGTCATATTTCATCAAAACTTTTGGTGGTGCAAATGTCAAGGTCTTAATGCTAGGCCTAGAGGTTCTAGTTATGTGATTTGGGTCTCTAGCCAAGTCACTTTCTTTACCTTCTAGCTCAGCTTTCAGAAAAGGATACTGTCTGTTGGTGCACAGCACATGGGAGCTTAAGTTTGTCTTAATGAATTATACAGCTTATTATCATGTCTAACGAAGTAGGTATGACACTATGGGAACTCACAGAAACTCCCACATTATGCAGGTGAGAAGGATAATTGGCAATGCCATCTCTGTGCTATTAATATAAGTAATTATTCATGTTATCCTAGTATCTGAGGGTCGTAGTCATGGACCAGGGCCCCACTGTAGTAAGCATTGTACAAAAAGAGAACAAATACTGCCCCAGAGAACTTACAATCTAAATTCTTTATTTCCCTGTTATTGTTTACTTCTGCCCTTCTAGTATTGTCTGTAGAAGGAGATACTGCCATATGCCTTGAATCTCCTCTGTAACTTACCATACTTTGCTATGACACTATAAAAATAACTATTGGAGATTTGAGTATCAATTTTGCCTATTTTTCTCTGTGACTTCATTTTCTTTCAGGAGCCCAAACACCACTGAACTACCTACTTATTCCAAAGTGATTAAACATAGATCTTTCTGATAGACAAACATGGTAGTGTCTTGTTTAAAATGAAATAAGAAATGATGTATTTACTTAGTTGGGTTCAACAAGAGCTATTCAATTCTCAATATAGGTAAAGTTCTGCACTCCTTAGGAAAGCACTAAAAATAAAATTAAATGAAGGCTACTAGGTTTGAAGCATTAGGGCTTGGTTTTGCACTGAGTCACAAAAATGGATCTGTTTTTAGCTGACCCTGATTCTGACCACAGCTCTGGTAGGCTCTGGTCTTTCTGCCCAGGGCCGTCCCTAGTGGGGGAGGTGGGGGAGGCAAATCAGGGCAACTGCCTCAGGCCCCATGCTTTGGGGAGCCCTGTGGAGCTGGGCCAGCTTTTTGTCTGGCCGCTCACCACAACCCCACCACCCTGCTGCTACCACTGCCGCATCCAGGTCCCATATAGGTTGATTTATCCCGGGCCCTGCACCCTGCTACGGTCGTCTGTTTCTGCCCACACCTTCCGACCAAGATCTGATGTTTGTAGATTTGTAACAGTTTGCTTCATGCAGGATCAGAAGGAAGTGGCTGGCAGGTCCACAGGGCTGAAGGATTTGTGAAGTGGGGGTTGCCTGGTCCAGGGTTGGAGAGTTGACAAGTTAAAAATAGCCTGCTTAGTGTGGGAGGGTTGGAACAGCACAGGCTTAGGTCTGGGATGAGGGGCTGATCTTTCCCACCACCAGCACTGTGCTGTGAACATATTCAGGCATTTACTAGACCAAGTTAACCCATTTTAGATTGGGTCAACACAGGTCAATCAAAAGTTAGTTCACCTCTGCCTTTTTTAGGTTGAGTTAAGCCCTGTGAATGCCTGCACTCATGAGCATTTAGACTGACTTAACCTTGATTAGGTTGATGATTTAAATGTAATGCTTGGACGTACCCTGTAAGGCTGCTAACATGTTTTGGACTTGAAATACTAATGTTGTACAGCTTTTAAAGTGAAAAAAGACAGTGAGAGGTAGATTCTAGTACAATATCCTCAAGAAAGTTAAAGCAAAGAAATTTTTGATAAGATATAACATGGACAAACCCTTTCATTAATTTTCAGTCATGCTGTTTGGGCCAGAGACCCATAAATAAAAGTGGTGACCTAGCTACATCTCCCATTTGTTTGTTTGATTTGCAGAGTGTCATCTATTACTAAAGAGACCCTTATACTTGATTATGAACAATTCATCCAGCTACAGAACATTTGGAAAGCAAGTTAACTCTGTAAGTTTTTGAAAATGTTGTGTATGTTAATCATAATGGAGTAGTGTGTGTGTGTGTGTGTGTGTGTGTCTGTGTATTTGTCTTGTCTCTGTACTAATGGATTATGATGCAATTTCCATGAATAGCTCATCCTTTTGAGATGAGATAGCAATTGCATTTTTATCTTACAAAGCAGATGTGCTTTGGCAAAATAGTTCTGATTTCTGTTTCCCATACTGTATGATACTGCATAATTTAGGTATATCTTGAGCACTCTAAACCAGGGGCAATGCATAGGGGGTGCACGAGGCTGCCTGTGCACCCCCTGAGAGCGCTGGTGCACCCTCTGTCAGGCCTCCCTCCCTGTGTAGCCAGTGGGCAGGGGGCAGGTGGGAGCACCAGTGCCCCCACTGCAAGAGCTGGACGGGAGTGGGGCTGCCAGCAAAAGCTTCTGGAAGTGGCCACAGAGCTCCAGAAGCATTGTGGCCAATTTTATTATGAGTGAGATCGCTGTCCTCGTGGCCAGTGGGATCGGCCGCCGGAGGACTCCCCCACAGTCACTGACTGGTGTCGGAGGGGGCATGTGCCCCCCTTGACTCAAGAGGCATCAGACACCCATGCTTTAAACGTGTGCAAAATACTGGCCCAGAACCTCAGGGTATCAATCCTCTAGCAGAACAGCGAGTTTGTGCATAGATAAGGATCTGCCCCCTACTTAATGACAATTAGAGCTGTGAGAAATTTCTCCACCACATTTGTTTCGAGGCTGTTTTGACCTGTTTTGAGGTCAAAACAGCAAAATCAAAACAGAACAGATATAGTTGAAACAGCCTTGAAACAAAATGAGGCAAGTCGAAATGTTTTGCTGTTTCGACACTATTTTGATGTTTCGCCCGTAGGCTATAATGGGGAAGGACAATAACTTTGTCATTTCTGGCCTGATTTGGATGAAACTTGCAGAAATGGTATCCCCTTCTGAGAGCATGAAGCCTGAGATGTATCAAGGAGATAGGTGCAGGGGGTTCAGGGAAACTACACCCTAAAATCTTGAACGCAAAACTTGTGTCACATGTACGTGTTACACCACAGTGAGGTCAAAACTGCAGGCATGCTAGCCCCTGCTGAGGCCACAAAGCCTGCCAAGTTTCAAGGATAGAGGTGCAGGGATTTGGGGGAAACTGCACCCCAAATTCTTGAAAGCAAAACTCATGTCACATGTATGTGTTAAGCCACAGCAGGGTCAAAACTGCAGGTTTGCTATCCCCTGGGGAGGCCACAAAGTCTGCCAAGTTTCAAGGAGATAGGTGCAGGGGTTTGGGGAAAACTGTACCTCAAGCTGCAGACAAGCAAAACTTGTGACATGGGTGACACTGTGTGTGTTAAGGCACAGCAGGGTGAAAGCTGCAAGCCTGCTAGCCCCTGCTGAGGCCACAAAGCCTGCCAAGTTTCCAGGAGACAGGTGCAGAGGCTTCTGGGTTCTGGGGCCCTGCACCTCTACATGTTGACAGGTAAAACCACAGACTAAGGAGAGGTACTAGTTTCCCCTGCCCCCTGTTCCCCAGTGCTCCAAGACAGATGCAGGGTGCTTGTTATCCTAGCTAGCTACTGTATATTGAGCTGGTCCCTGAGTGAATCATGATTGATTGCATAACACAGTAGCTAGCTAGCACAAGCACCCATGACACGAGTTTTGCCTGTCAGCAGCTAGAGGTGCAGGGCCCCAGAACCCCCCTGCACCTATCTCCTTAACAGCTGACAGGCTTTGGAGCCACAGCAGGGCCTAGCAGCCAGGCCTGCAGTAGTTTTCACCCCCCGCCCCCCAAGACTAACACAGTTGCACAAGCACCCATGACACGAGTTTTGCCTGTCAGCAGCTAGAGGTGCAGGGCCCCAGAACCCAGAAGCCTTGCACCTATTTTCTTGAAAACTGGCAGGCTTCGTGGCCTCAGCAGGGGCTAGCAGGCCTGCAGCTTTCACCCTGCTGCACCTTAATACACATAGTATCACTCATGTCACGAGTTTTGCTTGTCTGCAGCTTGAGGTACAGTTTCCCCCAAACCCCTGCATCTATCTCCTTGAAACTTGGCAGGCTTTGTGGCCTCAGCAGGGGCTAGCATGCCTGCAGTTTTGACCCCACTGTGGCTTAACACGTACATGTGACATGAGTTCTGCTTTCAAGATTTTAGGGTACAGTTTCCCTGAACCCCCTATACCTATCCCCTTGATACTTGGCAGGCTTCATGCCCTCAGAAGGGGCTACCATTACTGCAAGTTTCATCCAAGTTAAGCCAGAAATGACAAAGATATAGGCTTTTTTGTCCTTCCCCATTATATTCTATAGGCCAGATGTTGAAACAGTTGCACCATTTCGACCGTTTCGACGGAATGGAATGGAACAGCTGTCTTGAATTGAAACAAAATTCAAAATGGAACGATGCCATTTCGCACAGCCCTAATAACAATGCCACCGTTATGGACCCTATCAGCTTTTTTGACTACTTTGAGTATACCAATTTATGGTTACATGTATACAATCAGTGTATTGTACATGCAGATCAGGACCAAGTACAAATCTTCGGCTTCTCAAAGCACAGGTCTCTATCTAGCACACTTCCTAAGAAGCAGCAGTTTTGAGTTGCACAAGCAACTTGAGAATAAATGTAATCAAAATACAATTAAATGTAACATTTTAAAATAAAATCCTACAGACATTTAAACATTTTAATGCAAAAAACGCTCTATTTGGAGTCTAAAACAGATCACCAGCATTCTCTCACTTGTCCTCTTTGTCATCCTGTTTGTCAACATGCAGCAGGCTAACTCAAATCTTCTGACTTGAATACAGAATTCTTCCTTTTCTACCCTAAGCTATTGTGTAGTTTCACTGTGTGGTTAAACAGCTGTCATGTCTCATCACAGCAGCGGCTGCATTTAATCAATGCACCTGTAGATGGTTAATGCGACTATGTATAATTAAACATTAATGTTTGTTGAAGCAGTTTGGGATGAAACATTCCATAAAAATTTGTTTAACATTTTCTTTTTCATCTTGATTAGCTTAATGCCACAGCTGTGTTTAAGAGAGCTTATATATACCACAATGTGAATTCGAACATAGCACTGACTGATATTACTTCAGACTTTATTTTGGAATCATCCACTGTCTTAAAATATAAAAATAAGATGGATGAGATTTTTGGAGGGAATTAAAAAGTCTCTAAGTGACTTCTTGCATAGATATTTAGCAAAACTCATTTTCCTGTTCAGGTTCTATGATATTTTGTCTGACTAATGTGGCCTTTTCAACATATGTAAAAAAATACTGGAAGTTTATGGTTTATTGCTTCATCTTGAATTCCCATGTTTGAAAAGATTGATATCATAAGGCAAACAGCCAGGGCTACACTGCATTATAAAATAGCCTTTTCCTTTGCCAAAATACTGATTAAATGAGTTCTGACCTATATTGTTTTTTACATCAGTGCCCTTTCACTGAAAAATGGAAATAGCCATAATTAACCTCAATGAAGCATGACTTAAAAGAGGAACCAGATTTTTATAGAGGGCTGTATAAAATACTTTTAGATGTTTAAAATTCTGGTGGCTGCTGCAGTGTGTTGTGTTGTATACCCAAGGGATCAGACTAGAGTTAGATGTAGAGATATGCTTCTTTCAAGGAGAAAACAGGCAAGTGGGAAACTATTTTGCCCAATAGTTCAAAGATTTTATATTTAAGCCCCACTGTTCCAAGTCTCCTAGGTTGACTTTTCTTGCACTGTTAGTCTAAAGGTATATTTATTATAGGTGGGCTGGTATTAAATCAGAAGGTCCAACTACACACAATGTTGAGGGAGACTGGAGATTGAAATCTTACAAAGAGTCTCTATCTTTCTTTTAAAAGATCCTGCACCTGAATGCCACCAAATTAGAACTGAAGTATTAAAATCCACATCTGAATTTTGTCTAGTCTTTATGTTTGGCTGGTGAAAGCACCAGCTGGGAACAATCAAATGAAAAATAAATATATGTTTTCTCTATTGTGTTGTTGAGGAAGGAACAGCTTAAGGCAGTCACTTTTGCAGCTGCTCCCTTGCCAGTATATTTTAGATGAGTTAGCTTCTGGAAATCAATGCATCTTTCAGTTCCTGATTCTAACATAGAAACTTGCTGAGGAGGAGGAACAATCCACATGTTGAGATATGTTGAGAGAGCCATAAATCTAAAAATAAAATCCTATACATGGAAAGAACTAGAGCCTCTGCTGATGTGGCTATACACACAACAGACCACAGCAGTCCCACAGAGAATAAGGTAGGAAAATTGACACAAAGGGGGAATAATAATGACTTCTCTTCCCAAGATCAAGGAGAAGTCAGTATGTTCAGTAAGGTCAATGCCAATCTTTCCTGTCCATTCTTAGGCACCCCCTTCATATCAGAATAACTCATATAGTTTCTCCCATTTAGCAGGTTTGCAAACAGTTCATGCATAATTTGTTCTGCAAAGATGGCAAATTTGCGATGCATGCTGTGCCCATCACCTCTCCCAAGAATGCCTTTACTTGTGAATACTACTTTTAAACTTTTGAGTCATGGATGCATTTATAGCAGTGTGCGGTCCCTCTTTAATTTAGAGAATCTGCTAAGTAGCCTGTCAAAGTAATATAGGCCTGTTTATTGCCTATGTACAAGAATTCCTACTGATTCTTATGGTTGAATATGCATCTCAACTGAAGTCAACAGATCCTTGGCATTTGCTGGATGTGGATTCTTGTTGATATTATGAAAATTATTATGCAATTATTACTATGTCTGATTAATCCCTTTCTGGTCAGTCTCATCATCCCATCAGCAGTCCCTCACTGTTGAGGATATTTGTCTGCCACAAAGGACTGCAGGTATGAGGAGAGGGAGGGAGAAAGGGAAAGGGAATCTGTTTGGTAAATTTTAACAGGCAGCTATTGAGGCAAAAACAGTTTGGGACAATAGCCTAGCTGAATCTAGACAACCCGCTTTGTCTAC